TGCGATGTTTCGCTTAATATAAAGGAGATATCGCTAGGTGGCAGCGATATCTCGTTGTATGTAAACGGTAAATAGGGGAGGCGAAAACGACATCTCTTTGAACTGCAGCGATATATCACTGAGCTCAAACGATATATCGGTGAGCTCAAACGATAATTTGCGAAGAGCTCCACGATATATGAGTGATATCTCTCGCTTTTTCAAACAATAGCCCTGCGATATATCGCCTATATATCGTCCCAGTGGAAATATCGCTCAAAAATATCCCCGATATGTCGCGATGATCGCGATATTTGGCGATTATCCTATGCATTACTTTTGCCCAGTATTGTAATACCTTTATCTTGGTGTTGTTGTTCTTTTCTTGAGGCTATTCATTTTATCGGTTCATTAATTTTCTCATCTAAAACATTTGAAAACGGTTTTTCTTTCTCAGTGACTTTACCGTTGCATTGAGTTTCCGCACCACTCCACGTGCCATTGTCTCTACAGGTCCGCGTTGCGGATCCCATTGGAAGGTATCCTTTGTCACAGGAAAACCGACAGGTTTGTCCGGGAAGATTAGAACAGGACTGTAAGCTTCCGTTGTAGGGAGCACACAGCTGCGGACAGCGGCTTACTGATGCTTGATCGCATGAAGAAAACAACAAAAAATCGATTGCTATTTATTCACCAGCCTAACCGTAAGTATAATGTGTTTTCTTAGGAACGGTCGAACCGTTAAGGTCATTAAACACTACTCAACGAGAGATCACTTGAAATTTAAAATTGTTATTTGCATAAAATAGTATTTCAGGAGACGTACGAAGTGTATTCAGGCTGATATCCAAATTTACTGAATGATACAGTTTAATGCACGATGAAATTAACAAAAAGTCTATTCACGTAATTTGTGTCGCGCAAAGCACAGAATTTCGCGCTAAAATGTAAATATATTTTATAACGGCTGGCTATTCCCTACAAATGACTCGGTCCTAAGAAGGTATTCTCGTTTTTGTTCTCTTAATATCGTTATCTGAAGAATAACAACCAAATTGTAAGAAATATAAATTACATTATTTCGTTTTGATAATTTCAGACTAAAAGACGACCGTTAAAAGTGTGAGCCTGACCAAAGTCAGTCAAGATTTTTTTTTTGTTTTTTTTGTCATATGACCACTAAGAGTTGAAATTTCAACTTAATTAGACGGGCATGCGCGGCCTTTTCCTTGATTTTTTTTTTCAAGTAGGAACAAGAAACTCCCAATTCCTTGAAAAAGGCGACTTTTTTAACCTTCTCACTTTTATTTCCCTTTACGAGTTTACAACAGAGCAAAGTAAGGGCAGCAGGGCCGGACGGCTTTTTCCGGACCGGATCACGTCGACCAGTTCAGCCCCACAAACACGTCAGCTTTCACTATAGTCTTGTATGGGATTGCTTGAGCGCGGGGACCGGACAGGTCATATGTTAACAACAAAAATACACCTCTGACTGAAATTCCTATCCTTTTTTCTCGTATTAATTATCTATTTGTATGGCCAGCTTAAAAGCTAGTGTAGGAATTGTTAAAACTCACGAAAACTATTGCATGGAGACAAGTCCGGTAACCCCTGCTATTTATTGTACCAACATAATATTTTCAATGAATAGAATCGTCAGAAAAAGTCCTAGTTAACTCCACGGAAGGAAATTTTGCAATGCATGAAAATTTTCCAAATTTTCTGAGATTCCGCCTGGTAGAATTTTTTTCAAATATTTGTGCGTTTTCCTTTTCAAGTCCCAAAAGTAATCACTGAAAAAAAAAAAATAATAAAAACACGAGGTCACCGAGTTAGTTTTCAAATTACTTGAGCCATAAGCTTAAAAATGCGTCTGAATTATCCTTTAGAAGCGTTACCATGGAAACCGCTATTGATGAAATGACACCTATGTTTGCATAACCAATGATTATATAATTCAACCCCGTAAAAGTGTTCAACTGGCCTTAGTCGGTCTTTTTGTTGTATTCTTTCAAAGTTATAAACCAGCAAAAAAATGAAAACTGGTACTAGCCCGTTGGAAATGAATATATAACATGTGCTCTCACCATTATCACAACTTTTCCCATCAGTCTTTGGGCATGCGCATTTGAGTCCTCCTGGCAGCGGAAGCAAGAAATCACTGCACTCCAAAGTGTTTTGAGCAGTCATATTAGAACCTAATGTGATATAAATCGTCATCACTAAAACCGTCTGTTAATGCAGTCCTCGACACTAATGGTAGCAAACTAGGCACAGACTAGTAGAAATTCAGTTTTGGTCGGTGGCTTTCGATTTCCTCAGCCAGTTTGGCTAGTAAACAAACTGAAATCATTGTAACATCTATCTTGTCACTCGCCACTTGGCTAGTAAGTTGAGAAGTTAGTCTCGAGCCCTGTAATGTCATTTACCAGTTTAGACTATGCAGTAAATGGCTTGAACCCGGGGGTAACATGTTAAGGTGTAGTCTGATCGTTCGGGTGGGTGTAGTCGTGAGAAGGACTGTTGTCGGTGGTAGTGACTGACGTTTCCACAACCTGTGCGGAAGTAATCATCAGAGTCAAGTGAATGATTGTTGTAAGGAGAATGTTCTTATTCCAGTTCGTGTGAAATGATCGGTTGGTTTTGCCGTGATGTTATTGGCTGTAAGACTCAAGTGACGTAAGTCGGTGGTGATTGGTCTGTTTCGATCTGTCGGCAAAGTTAGGTCGTTCTTTTTCGGTCGTTTGTGATGTTTATGTCGTGAATGAGTCGTTTGTATGGAGCGGGTAGTTGTTGACATCTGTTTAGGGGAGTCTGTTCTAAGTTAGTAAACCAGCTTTCCAGAGTCAGTCGTTGAAAATAGTCAGTGCTGTAGGTTAGGCATTGCGCAGAGTCCCAGTCAATGTTGTGGTTGGTAAGTCGATGGTGTTCAGCAATGTGATTGCTGACATCACCTTTCCTCGTCGCCCGTCTGTGTTCAGTCAGTCTTGTTGTGAGGTTTCTGCCAGTCTCACCGATGTAGGAGGCTTGGCAGTCGGAACAATTGATCTTATAAATCGTTCCCTGTCTGTTCCTCGGTTCGTCTTTGTCTTTAACGTTGGTTAGTAACTGACGTAGTGTGGTGATGGGTTTGTGGGCGACGCGGATATTGAAGGGTAGTAAGATGCGCGAGATGTTTTCAGACATGCCTTTTATGTACGGTATGGTTGCTGTAGTCGTAGGGGTTGCGGTGTCGTTTGTTTCGGTAGTGGTAGTGGGTCGGTGAGTGTTTCGTCGGATGAAGTCGTTGTTGTAGTTGTTCTTCGTAAAAACACGGTGAAGGTATTTGTTCTCGTCGGATAAGCTGTCTGTCGAGTCACATACTAGTTGTGCGCGTCGTGTTAGAGTTCTGATAGTTGTGGCTTTGTGTGATGTAGGGTTGTAGGATGACTCGTCTAGTAATCTGTCGGTGTGTGTCGGTTTCCTGTAAACTGTCGTTCGTAATGAGTTGTCGTTGTGGCTTACCAGGCAGTCTAGAAAAGGAAGTTTGCCATTTTCTTCGACTTCTCTGGTAAACTGTATGTCAGTGTTTTGTTCGTTAAGGTGGTTGTGGAATGCGTCAATTTCGTCGTGTCGAACGGCGGTGAATGTGTCGTCAACGTAACGTAACCAAAGCGGTATCGTTTGTCGGCAAGTCGAAAGGGCGCGTTCCTCGATGTTCTGCATCACAATTTCTGCTATAACAACAGAAACTGGAGACCCCATGGCAGTGCCGTGTAACTGTTTGTAGTGTTTACCGTTGTACTGAAAGTAAGTAGACGTTAGGCAAATGTTTAGCAAGTCCATGATGTCGTCTGTCGGTAGCGGTAGTGG